AAATTTTTCACATTACCCTCCCAATTCTAATAAAAAAAATTAAAATCACTTCGCAAATTTATTATTTTCACGATTTAAGCGAAAATCTAGAAAAAATTAGCCAACATCATTCAAGGGGATAAATGGTATTATCGTTATCGTGATGTACTTTTCATACACGTTACTAATTATTATAGTATTATAGTCGATGTCTATTTTTGGCGAAATTCATCATTTATTCAAAATTCCCACATTTTCCACATATCATCGTTATTATTAATATTATTAGTGTAGAAGGGAAATAAATATTTCGGTTTTTCAAATGCAAGAGCTGGTGATTTATTATTGCTGTTTTTATTATTCATCCTTTTGGTACTTCGCTTGATTTCTGTTTCGAATATCTAGAATAAAACTAAATTTAATAAAGAACCCAATCAAGCATCTTTAAAATAATATATTCAACTTTCTACCGTTTTATAAGTATGATCGAGAAAATCTTCGAGATTGTAAGACGGTTTAGTGAATTGCTCTTCAAAAATTTTTGCTAGTGTCGCTACGTTCGGGTAATAGTGATCTTGGAGTGTCTGTTCATTGGATTATGATTAGACAATACAATTATTAAATTACTTAAATCTAACCACTACACTACAAACCTTTATCTCCCATAAAGAACTATTAATAGCCCCACTTTCCATTGGATCTTTTTCATCGAAATTATAAGGATCTAATAAGAGGATCTTTTAATTGTTGAACAAATAAAAAAACTCGATATATTACTTAATATACATACCATTACTTTCAGATACTATTCCATGATTATTAGTATTACTACGATGAATTAATTGCATACACCCAGGATGTCTCTTCATCAAATTATATATCATTGGAATCAAAATGACAATACCGTGCGGTGGACTCGTCAACGATAATCGTGACATTCGTTTGATGAATGCTGCGATTAGTTGAACGGGAAGATGTCTAATTATCAATAGAAATAACCGATCATTATTTATATTATGAATACCTTATAAAAATTGGATGATTTAAACAATTGTTTATAATGAATTTTTTATTGATACTTACGTAGATGCAAGAAACAAATCGACAAGACGGAAAAAACGCGATCGATATTTAACGTGCATTAAATTTCGATCAAACAGTCCGTACAGTTTCTTATAAAAATCTGGGTAATCCCTATTTATATTTATTAGAAAATAACAAAATATTGAATAAAAAATATGATAACTATGAAATTCAAGCTAAAAAGGCAAATTAAAAAAAGCCCCCACAAATTATGTTCATGAATCAATGTAAAAAGACCATTCAAAGCCAATAAACTTACAACTCCACCTAATATCAAAATAAAAATTAATGATTAAAAAATCAGAGAATTTTCTATAAGTATTCTAGAAAACCAATTTACCAGCATTATAAGAGTCTGTCAAAAAGTCCATCAACAACAGTGGCTGTAACATGTGCGGAATTATTTTCTTGTGCATAATTAATAATATTTTTTTGTACGAATCAAGTGTCATTGGTAATTTTAATAAGGATAACCAACATTCAGAGAATACTCGTTTGTGTTCATGTAATCGAAGAACTATTGGTATTTTGGTATCGTTTTTTATAGGTTCATTTTTAGCATTGTCGTCGTCGTGATATTCTTCCCCTTCCTCATCATCAGAGGGTAATATAGAGCCATTTAAATCTTGTGTACCACTATTGTCTTTCTTGTTATTATATTTTTCCTTTATCATTTCTATTAATGTAATAAAAGTTATAATAAATATTCTCGATAGTCTTATTATTATATTCAATTTATTCTCATAAATATAATTTATTATTTAATACCAGGAACAGGATGTCCAATCCAAAATGCATCAATCTCAGATTCATCAGTCGGCATAGTTCTCAAATTATCCAGAATCGAAAATGTATTTTCCATCAAGATATTCAACTTTTTTCTATCTGGCTTTTCTTGCATTCTTCTTTTCTACCAATAATTTTTGATAAAAACTCATTTTCATAATAATACAAGATGATATCGATAAAACCAAAAATTTTTACCTTCGAGCTCGGACCTGATTGGTCTTTGGTTGTGCCACTATCTAATAGTAAATTAATTATCTTACTTTCAAATAAAAAATTAAATTTTATAGTTATTATTTGTATTAATTTAATTAAACTACATATTTTCATTAATTCTAATATAC